TCGATCTATGTATTCAAAATCATAACAAACCTAGTGGAGTTAATTCACATTTCAGTCATTTCACATATAATAAATTAATTTAAATAATTTATTACTTAAAAATACTAAAGAAGTATTTTTCAAGACCGTCTTAATAATAAGACGTCAAGCAAAGCTTCTTAATTAAAACTGAATAAAGACAGATAGCTTTAAAAGCAAATTACGTGCGGCAAGATTCAATAAAGCCAAGGGACGTAAAAATATATTTTATTTCTGAATTCTACAGCACTCGATTTAGGAGTGGAAAATCTTAAGAGAGTTTGTCTATTTACAGTCACAGTTGTATTGCAAGATCAGTATTATTTGACATACCGTAATGAATTGTATTTACATGTTCGTTTAGAGAGACCTTTAATGGATGTTTTCTTACTCGAGTAGGGGCTATTAGAATAAACCCATTAAGTAATTTGATTGCTTGTTTTAAACGTTACCACGAAAATATTACTTTATCTACAGCACTGTTTAAATAATATAATTTGAAGAGAAGTTACGGAAAAGGGTAATGGGGCATAAAACATTTATTTTCTAGTACCTTTCGCATTATTATTATTTCCTTTTGTTTTTAATTTCCTTTGTCAGTGTTTAGAGCGTTTCCACATGACGACTTTTAACAGCGATACAAATGCGCGATTGCATCGCGACACTTGCGATTTATAGGCGGTTGCATTAACACACATTTACACACGCGCGATTTAAGCACCGTTACAATTGCAAAGCAAACGTTATGCAAAAGCGATGCAAACGCGATTGAAATGCGATGCGCGTTTTTAATGATTCATAATAAGCGACTGTATCGATGCAAAGGTAGACATTACGCCTCGGCCACGCAAATATCGCCAGGTTCGTAGCGTCAATTCACTGAAAGCGTCAATTTATTCTAATACACCCACAAATTTTGGTAATTCGGTGGTGGGAAGAAGTCAAGGATATTTTTTTTACGAATTAAATATAAATAAATAACGCGCACACTCAACATAGCTATATATATCTCTATAGTTAAAACTATTTAAAGTTTTTGGTGGAACATACTTTAAATATGTATTAATAATAATAATAATGCAAGTTAATAACTATTTGCTTTCAGCAGTAACCAAATAACATTAAAAACAAAATAATTTATGGCAAACACTAACGCGCAGAGCGACAGTTTTGTGCACACAATGGACCATTCTCGTATAATTGTTCTGGTCGCCCGCAAACACCGAGTATATTACCAGAAATAGAGACGAAATGTCATTTAATTTATTTGAAAACTATTCTGCTATATCATTACTGTGACAACTGCGCTCCGATTGGCTAGACCGAGTTCGAAACAATTGACGGGTGTCGTCAATGGGTGTCGTCAACTGTTTCACTTCAAATCGACCAACACGGCATTGTTAGAGATTATTATCTTTATTACAATAAATACAGAATATTTTTTGGAATATACGGAGACGTAAACACATGTCAGTAGTTGGCCTGTCTATATTATACACTTTAGGCGCTCTTAGATCATAGCCCACAGCTAACTTTCTGTTTTTTTTTTCAATTTCGAGGTGTTCAATCTTGTCTAACACGCAAGTTTTACCTACATTTTTATTATATCTGATATTAGATAAAATTTATAATTTCAAGACCGCTTTTAATTTCGTTTACTTTAACTCAAAGAAAAGATCAGTGTAATAGCTAATAATATTTTGCTATAAAAGTTTTTTTTGATGGCCTTGGAGTACTTTGTGCCGACGTCAGAGTAAAAGGTAATGAAACGAAATAGAAAAAACCCAAGAGAAAAAGGATAAATACAATTAAGTAAGAAAGACAGGTATTATTTCGATAAAATTTGGTCATGTATTTATTATTTCCTGGCAAACATAAAGTAAAAAACACAAGGGGAAAAAATATTTATACCTTTGTATGCGGACCGTTTGAAAAGGGAATACGAGGGAACCGAATGGGGAAAACTGACACAATTGATTTTAGAAGACAATGTCCTTATACTGTTTCTTTTTAGTCTTTCATCCTGATCAATTTCCATCAGAAGCAAAAAAAAATCCAAATTGAAATAAGCAAAATCACTAAGCAAGTTTTACGTATTAGACATTATTGGAGACCGGTCATGGATTAAAAGAAATATAATAGTAAGCATATGGGTTGAATTCCCTGCGTCAACATTTTTGTAAAGAATCTGTTGCAAGAAAAGTTTTCCCTTTTGTTAAATACTAAATTCAAAGTCATGCGCCTGGTGGCAATCGATATGCCTGTTCATAGGTCCATAGAATTGCAGTGCCACTCAAAACTTTTAAATCGCAAAGATCTCGGGGGCACTGTCACCCAGAGACATAAGTTTGACAAGTCCCATGTGCTTGTAATTTCACCAGCGGCAGCGCTCTTACCCTTCAAAACGGGAACGCAGTAATGCTCATATCACTGCTTGACGTAACGTGGCAGTACCTACTTCTCTTGAGAAATTCTTTCACAAAGAGCTCTACTACTACTATATCTTGTGACCGAATCCGCATATTCCGCAGAGCTAGGTGACCCTAACTATGAGTGACTCGTTTTCGCAACCGCGCTCTTAGGGTCGTATTCCAGAAATCTACTCAATGCTCAAGTCAGGACTTGAGCAGACTTGAGTATGATTTCAAGCACTAGAAATACGACCCTAATGGCAAGAACTTGAGTGTGATTTTCAGTGCTCACTGCAATACTCAAGTCCTGATTTGAGTATTGAGTAGATTTCTGGAATACGACTCTCAATCTTTAATATGTAGAGTGTATATCGAGTTCTTAGGTTTTCGCGATTGTTACACATAGGAAATGAAACTATTTTTCCGGATTTAAATCGCGTATATTTGTTTTTTCAAACAAACCGACGTTTCGGGCCCTTTACAGGTCCCATGTCAGCGTCATGCAGTCAACCGTGACCATGGGACCTGTAAAGGGCCCGAAACGTCGGCTTGTTTGAAAAAACAAATATACGCGATTTAAATCCGGAAAAATAGTTTCATTTCCTATGTAGAGTGTAATTTAGAATAACATACAATACTTACCTGTACTGCGGATGAGGTATAATTTTGGACAATGCCTCGTTTTCTTCTTTCGACGAAATATCCGTGTAACCCACTACGACTGTCAACTGTTTCGATTTGTAGAACTCATCGAACACACTGAAAGTAAAACAAAAACAAATTCAAATTAAAAACCCCGATATAAAACAAGTGTCCTCCAAAAATTCAGTAAAGTCACCATTTCATCATCAACCCATTTATAGGTCCTACAGCTGAGGCGAGGGTTTGGCCCAATGCGCGTTGGGGACTTCATACGCTTTCCGAGGGTTGTGAACCTTCTCCAACGTGCAGGTTTCATCGCGACGTTTTTTTCTTTTCATCGAAAAGCTCACAGTAAATTCCAAATTAAATTTAGCACATAAATTCCGAGAAACTCAGAGCTGCGACTCCGGATTCGAACCTACGACCTCTGCTTGAGAAGCGGTAGTTCAAACCATTAAGCTACCACGGCTTATATAAGTAAAAAATCTGTAAGCTACCAATCGTCGAAACTAATTTAATGAAAACAAATACAATAGCTCTGAGTTAAGTAATTTGTGGACTGTCCTGGTTTCAGCATCAGATCAAGGTTATTATTGTATTGTCATCGGATTCTCATAGTATACCAAATATGAAATCGATCGGTGAAATGGAAGAAAAACTCGACCACAGATTACCTAATAGTTACTACGTAACAGATACACCACTTCAATACAAAATCGAAAATACTTACGTTATAATAGCCTACTAAATCGGACTAATGACACCAGGCGGTCACTACGAGGAAAAAGGAACTTAACCTCGCTCGCATAGAGGTGAAAATAACGTTGCCTACCGTGTGCAGCCGTGCGGAGCCGAATACTCATAAATAAAAGACTTGTACGAGCACTTGTGCCGACTTAGAGCGAGTGACAGAACCCTGACCCTACACTTACTGAGAAAAAAGAGTTGATTGATGACCTTTAAACAGCTGGACAGCTGGTTATCAAACATGGCTAAGATCGTGATAAAAGAAAAACACCTTCGAAATCAGTTCAACTGTTATGGAGCTATGATGGCACAGAGAAATACACTGTTATAGACAAAGGGTTTAAACTTATAACTACTCTTATTGATCGAGGGTTAATTTATTACCGAGTAGTCTTTAAGTTCTATTAATTTAATTCTCAATAGATAATAGGGATCGACTATATTGTTGATGAATAAAGCTTTGTGTTCGTGATTCAACTCAGTTTTAAGCCGACTGCAAAAAATAATTGTATATTTTATTACTCCAACATTTGTAAAGAGATTCCGATAACTCATTTTTTGTTGGAAAGGGTTACAACTTAGTAGTAGTACCATTCAAATTTAAAGAAAATATTCCACCACTGAGGGTGGCTAAAGTTGGTCACTACTTTCCGTTAACCGGTTCCAATAAAACTTGGCACATACATGTAATTCCAATGAAAAAATGTTATGGTGATAGAGATGATATGACGACTGAAATAGCAGACAGATGAAAAAAACACCTCAGGACGAGGTCTGACAGGAAACCGCGGTGACGGACACAGCGAAAGCGGATAAGCAAACTTTAGAGGTCGCTTTTTTATATAAAAAATTAGAAGTATTTCTATATAGGATTTACATTGGCAGCCATTATTTTTGGACCCCTAAAATACCAGCTCCAATTCATTTTGAATATTGAATATACATAAGCGGAGATCTAGACATCGCACAAGTTTCTATATCATCTTCCGCTAGCCGTAACCACTATTATATTCTCGAAATTTAAATTCAAATCAGTGTTGGGTCATGGAAAAATATTCATTTTCAAAAATTAATATTTATCAGAAATGTAATTATTCTGAATATTTTTCCCACATTTGACGAAGCTAAAAGATTTTTTGCCTATGATTCTTTATTTTTCGCTGTTGTCCAATAATTTTAAAACTCGTTTTTCTTTTACTTACGTTTTTTTAAATATCAAGTGATGGGTCTAACAGGTCGTTGGCCTGATGGTAAGCTACACGCCTATCCATAACAGTTGCAGTGCCACTTAGAGGTCTAGATCGCAATGATTTGAGGGGCACTGTCGCTGCGCCCGTCACCTTGAGACATAAGTTGACAAGACCCATGTACCTGTAATTTCATCAGCACCTTTACCCTTCAAAACCGTAACACAGTAATGCTAACATTACTGCTTGGCGGCAGCAATAGGTAAGGTGGCAGTACTTCAATGGACGACCTCTTCCACAAGGAGTTCCACTGCTACCAAAAAATTGTATTAACCAATAAACTACTAACTACTATAATAATAGTACACAACCTGAAAACCTGTTATTATACATATACTCATGTGACAATACATACCTACAAACACAATGACCAGCAGTCAACAGCCACCTGTCATTTAACACCGTGGCGCCGCATTGATGTGTGCCCTGGCGCCACAAACTTGCCGCCCAGGGGAACTCTGCAGGGAGGCTGTCCGTCCCCCCAACTATGCGTCCACGTCTTGCCACGTCTATGCCACATTCCACGTCTGCCACTGTTGGCAAAAACCGAAAATGAATGTTATTACATACAAATGGGGTAAAATATTGAAAACAGAACACTTTTGAGTTAAGATACTAAACTATTTAGTAAAAGGTAAAATAAGTCATTTAATAGTAGGGTTTTAAGTTTATGCCATCACCCCAATATGCTTGAAAGATATTGCTACCTAATAATAAGGTCACCATTGCAGTTGCTTGCAGTTTTTTGGATTTAATTCTTGTATTTAATTACAATTACAATGAACAAAAAAATATTGTCATTGTAAATAGTAAAATAATAATTTAAAGTACCAAACGTTTCGTCCCAATGAAACTACTTGCATGTCGCTTCTATGTATCTTTGTTAATGTTGTATGGCAACATCCACGTTAGCGATTGAACGAACTAACACACATTTAAATAAGCAACTACCCACTTAATGTAGAATAGTTTTTGTACTTAATATTCGATATTTCAACTGTACCCATTTTTCTCATGTTAAGTGAATGGAAATTCTTAGTGAGAAATAAATCTTTAAACCTAATAGTAAAACGTGTATGTGTTGTTGCTGTTAACAGTTATCAATTTAAATTTAAAATTGTTCAGGGCATGTATCAACGACTAAGAGCATTTGCACACTACGTCCGAATCGTGAGTTATGACGCGGTTCACAAATACTGGAGTTATCACGTAACATACATACAAAAAAAAATACAGTCGAAAAAGAGATGGCATTATATAGTTCATATAGCGTTATTTCTTTCCTTTTCTTGGTAAGGAATAGACATTATTGGGAAATCATTCGTTCTTTCAATCACTTTAGCAATAATATATTACTTGGTTGTACATCACAAGGATCATTTTATCTCTAGGTGTACAAGCGATAGTCGTATTTTCTCGGATTCGAATTTGACGTAGTGCACAAGCAACATCCGAAGTGGGTCCGAGTTTTCTAGATTTGTATAGTCTCTGGTGGTCTACTCTCGATCTCCGTCAGACGTCCTTCCGATACAATTACTCCCAAATAAGCAATACTTGACTAAATGAATGATGCGAATAATGCAATAATGAAATCTAAAACTATTTGATATCAATATATTTTAAGATTGCTAAATTTGACATAAGATCAATATTACTTTAATGTTAAAGTAGCGTCATAGTACGAACTGAGTGAATGAATAGTCACAAAGCTGCCTATAAAACATCATAATTTTAACATTATAATAAGCTTACTTTAAGCGCGCCATGGTACGAAAAGTCAATGTAAGATTAAAGTAATATTGTTTTAAGAGGTTGTGGTAGACTCCTGGTCACGAATCGCTCGCTTGCGCCGGCCGCTAGCTTTGTGTTGGAAGTTTGTTATTTCCACCCAAGCAACAAGCCACGTTGGCGACAGCACCACTGGCCAATCACAGAGAAGCAACTGGTCTTTAGGTTGTCGAGAGTATCGACAACCTATAGAAAGGCAAGCCGCCGCGCATGCACGTAAGTCTCTCAACAACGCAAAGCGCAACTATCGTGAACGTCTTTGCGCGGAAGGCAGATTTCTACGGCGTATACTCAGTCAAGACAAGCAAGCGAAAAACGCTAGTCAAACACTCGTGAACCTCGTGAACGTTTATAATAAAAATTCCTCCGATATGCCTGGATTTTGCCGTGGCACCTTTTGTGAGAAATGTATTTCTTCACTCAGTCCAGAACATTTACAGCTACCAGTAGCTGACTAGAAATATCGCTTTAATCATTACAAATTTTAAGTTTATTCAATGTGACGATGTCTTACCACCATGATAGTCAGGTATATAATTTATTAATTTCTATATGTATGTGTAAATGTTTATATCTAGCACCCCCGCTTTTATTCATGTTTAGTCTCTCTCCATTCTAAGGTTGTCTGGAAGACATCGCTGTAAGCGATAAGACCGCCAAATGTGACCCTGCTAATGCGTTTAATTTTTGTCCTGTAATCTTTCTATGTATGTGGTGCTAACAATAAAGATTTTTTTTGTCAAATTACTCCTCTACTTTGTTATAAATCACTACAAAGATCGAACACTAAGAAAAAATTCTACGATCCGAATAATAATTTAACGAGAATGAACAATTTATCGAGTCCTTAGGTTTTTGTTACACATAGGAAGTAAAACTATATTTTCAAACCTAAATCGCGTATATTTGTTTTTTTGAAACATACCAACGTTTTGTTCTATGGAAATGTTCTTTGGATAATTAAGATAAGGTAATTAATTCATAACATTTGTAATTATAAAAAATAGAGTAGTTTGCATTAATATTAGATATAATTGGTTGATGACTTTACATCACAGTCAGGCGTGACCTTAAACCTCTATGAGCCCAAAACGTTGGTTCATTTGAAAAACCAAATATATTCGCGACATAGATCCTAAAAAATAGTAACAATACTTTTGTCAATAGCTATGAACGCTATCCGCGTAGAGCACTTACAATTAATATAACTAAGCGCCAAATCCACAAACAAGAACACACACAGCACTTCAAAGCGACACATGTTGTTGACAATAAATTATTATCTGCACACACTTAGAACAATTCGTATTTATATGTATTTCCTTAACTAGGTCTAGGATAAATGATATAAATAAAAATAAATTAAATTATAAAAAAAACTACATTAAAACACAGCACCGCGTGAGGTGCCTGTGCTAACTACAAATCAATTGATTTTTCACAAGATATTTAAAGCTTAGTGATTTAAACTGAAGTGACCCTCCTTTGGCCGTTTGAAGGCCTGACCCCTATAATACATTGTAGTGATGGGACTATATTTATTTGGATATCGATAAATCGCACCATGTGCGTTGATGTTAAACAAAAATATATAAAAACGATAACTTCTAAAAAATATGCGATGTTAAAAATATGTGAAAAGGGCCAGGGAGATTCTTATAAAATAACTGAATTTTCATTTTGGAATTGAAAAATATGACTTCGTGTTACTTGAAGAAAACTTCCACGCAATTTCCAATCATTTACTTGCTCAATTAATAATTATTTGCATGACTAATAATTAGAGTATTAGTGGCGTTAAGGGGATAGTCCTATGAAACTGTTTATTGTAAGCATTGTAAATAAGGAACACTTAATTATTTTTCCGTAAGTCATGTCGGAAAATGACTTACGGAGCCGAGACGTGGAATATAACGGTCAACCTGGCTCACAGACTACACGTCGCTCAGCGCGCTACGGAAAGGTATCTCGTTAAGGGGCAAAGTCCGGAACGAAGTTATCCGACTAACCGATAAGACTAAAGTTGTGGACATCGTCCAGAAATAATACATCTATAATCAGCAAGCTTCAGCACCATCAAAAACCACAACATAAAATGGTTTAGACCTTTACGTAGTAGAAAACTACGTGACCAAAGTTATATTAGCTAGAAGTTAGATGTAAGTTAAGTTACATGTTAGTTATTATCGATAAATAGTCTAACAAAGTACATCACTAGTAAGAATTCATTGTCAGGTTCGTCGCGACCTTGTGTTATCGATAGATAAGGTTTGCGGAACTGTCATTAACTGGAAACATACACATTGTCCAAATATTTCTATGCAACACCGTAATTATGTGTATTTGAATTAGGGTGTCTATGATTTATTTATCTATGTTTTGGTGTAGTGGATACTGCCTACTCTTAGAAAAAAAAAGTTTTTAAACATAATAATCATTATCATCAATAAAAAATTTAAATCAAGGTGACAAAATTTAAGAAAGAGGCTCTTCACCTAGTTAAGTATATATTCGTAAAAATATACCTGATAACTTGTTAACGTGTTTTTAGACATCAGGACATAAATAAATCTTAAACAGAACCGAACACGGCAAAAAATTCACTCCTTAGCTCTAAGGATAATTATTGTGGAATCGAAATGCTTCGCGCGAGTTGATAGAATGTCTGCAGCATAAGAATGAAAACATTTGCCGCATCTATTGACTAGTGATGGAGACAGTGGGTGTGATTCAATAATCACATGTACGCTCTCCCCAAAATGTATTCTGTAAAACAACGAAAGGCAACTCGGCATCGGCATTTCAATTCGTGGATTCAAACCTCCAAGGCCTCGCTTGGAGGTTTGAATCCACTAGCAAGTTGCTGCCAGCTTGGTTCAGTGTTTTTATTTGCAACAAAGAATAAAATTTATTTATTGAGATTTTTTGTGAAATAATTCTACTAGTTTTGTTATGATTGCGGGTCCAGTTGAGCCAGGGAACTGGACTCGTGGCTCAGATGGTTAGAGCAATGCTACGGTGCAGCATGGACTTTTTCTGTGTGTTCGATCTTTGTATTCATACTTATAATAAAGAATACAATTGTTTTTTGTATTCCAATCATCAACTTTACTTTTACTTATAGGTTATCAAGGGACGGGACAAATAAACCTGGTGGTAAGCGACACGCCTATCCATGACAGTTACGGTGCTACTAAGAGCTTTAAATTGCAAAGAACACCCTGTCATCCTGATGTCACCCTGAGACACAAGTTGACAAGTACCATGTACTTGTAATTACACCAACAGCACCCTACGAAAAAAGTCAATAAAATTTATTTCTTGATAGTAGAAAAAGGTAAAGTAACAGTAGTTTCCTGGACTTAACCTGGACTGGATTAGAGCTAATCGCCAAACCACGTTATAAGTATGATAAATCCATTTGTAAGCTTGTAGTGGGTAGTGGCGTCAACATCCTTTTTATATATTATAGTAACTATGTAAGTGTAAACAACAGAAAAAAGTTTTGAATTTCCCCAAAATTAAATTGTAAACAAAATGTGATGCAAAGATTTTTCGAATATTTTATTATTTTTACAAAACTTCTTTCATAGATTTCTCATAGATGGCGCTACTACGACTAAAAAGTCGTTGAAAAGCCAAGCACAAAGACACGACGCAAGAACATAGAAAAAATTCGTGAGGTCCGCTGGTCCGGTCGGATCGAAGGAATTTTTTCTGAGTATTCGATCTTTGTATTAATAATTATAACAAACTAGTGGAGTCATTTCACAAAAAAAAAATTGAATATCAATTCAATAAAAATTTCAAATTTACAAAACTTGTTAGTTTTTATGACGTTGATCTTATACATTTCTACTCTACAAAATGTGTATGGTAACATCTTTTTGACACACATTATATACAACGCACTAAGAAATTTGGCTGCAAAAGTCAATCAAGTTACAAAACGTTGATTTATTTTTTACGGTGATCCTACAAAGTCAGGTTAAGCATACCGACTTCCATTTTAGTCGGTCAAGTGCATAGTTAAGCACTTGCCCTACTTAGGTCTCCGATTCGGCCCTAATTGCCGATTGCACCTTGATAAGACCTCTTGGGTACACACAATTGAATTGTAATAATATATACTTATTCGTACCTACAGCTATTGAAATACATATATCGAGAATTTTACTATAAAAAAGGTCCAAAACTCTAGCTATACGTAAGTTTGAGTAATGAACAGTGTTGTAAAAAAATTAGGGTCAGCCCATAACAATGAACAACTTTTCCTAAAGAACCCGCAACCAATTTGCGAAAAAGTTTAAATTTCTTTATTAATATTATGCGATCGGCGGATTTGAGAGGGGAGGAAAAAAGAATTCACTCATTAGATATGGGCTCCTTAGAGAAAGTTGTTTACTTCACAATGCTTTATTCAATTTTTAATAAAAACTTTTCTGCCAGATGTATTATATATTTTTTAAATTATCTAATTTATTTTAAACCTGATAACGAGATTATTTGATTTTTTTTCACATTTGTTATTCTACGAATATGACCACTACAGACGCCATATTGGATTTTTCATAAATATTATAATTGTTTAACATTAGTTTAGTATTTAGTAATTTAGGCTTTTCGAGAAAACAGGTGAACATAGATACACATATCATTATGCTCCAAAAATTATCTCCTTCTGGCTTTACGTAGTCTGTTAGAGTTCTACGTGGTGCTGGACATTACAAAAAGCGGTGACGGAGCTTGCTAGAACACCTTTCCATACAGCAAGAAATTCATTATACCATAATGCAATAGAAATCATGAAATATAGTTAAATTGGACTAAAAATCTTTAAAAAATATGGACACTCTACAAGACAAAATAAAATTGAATCACAAAATTGGATGAGTCAAAAACAAAACCAGCTTATCGAAGAAAACCTTCGGCTAAATATAACCAGAATAAACACGGAACTGCACAACGGAAAACTTACCTTATCGCTAAAGGTCGTACAAAGGCCGTCTGCCTACCCGCATTGTGACTGTTGTAGATTTTAAATCAGGTCGGTAATTATATCTTTCATGAAGTCTCCAATTTCCCACTACTAAGGTAATAAATCGAAAGACTTGCTGCAGTAGATTAGGTGTAAGAGTAGCTGTACATTACTAATCAAACGTAAATGTTTTTTTGTTTATATAAATTATGCTATGTATAGACAATTTTAACCTTGTATACTTAAATTTTGGGAATATTTTAAGTTTCTATTCTTAATAGATGTTTGTAACATTCTGTATCGAATCACATATATTGAGTTAATATCCATTTCTAGTAGTGGATCTTTCTTATTATTTATTTATTTCATAGTTAAACAAACGGAGTATACAATTCACGTGGTAACAAATTAAGACAAAAGTATATTCTAAAAACAGTGAACACAGCACGATAAAATGAGTCACACCCTTTATGTAATAATGCCATGTCTGCAAAATGACAACTTTTCAGGAGATAGATTTAAAAATCTGCGGACGATATTAGTCGATAGTTTTTTATGCTTAAATATGACAGTTTTAAAATTAACAATACGAGTACATAACTTTCTTTAATGTAGTTCGTATTATTTTTAACATTTAATAAAAGTACTTTTGAAGTACGACAACACATTGCATGTCAAGAGCATATGTGAAGTCTTAGTAGCAATTTAATATCATAAATATGTTCATTTATTTATTTATTATTTATTAATTAAAGGACATCCAACAGCATACATTTAGAACTTAAAAAATAATGTTACATGAGCAGTGCATAATGCCAATTAGAGGATATCACAAAAGCTTAGAAATATTATGACGCGACATTGTGAGTTTCTCTACAATTATTTATAAAATAAAATTTAAAATTTGAAAAGAACAATTAAAAAATTCATAAAATATTACAGCAAAAACCATTTCAAATAAAAATAACAATATTAATTATATAATTAGTAGTAATAAAAATTAGCTAAAACCTGATGGTGGACAAATTACTCTTCTAATTTGTTGCTTAAATGAATGCCTACTATGCGAAAAAATGTCAATGGCACTATAAGACTTATTGTACGTGGTTGTAAGGCGAGAAACGATCTCGTTCTGGCCATAGTTAGTACGACTAGGTGACAGGTTCAAAAACAAAACAAGAAAAAAGAAACAAAAAATAAATGAAAAAGAATTTCACAAAGTGATTTGTTTAAGTTGTTATAGGGAAAGAAATAAAATAATAAAATAACAAAACATAAAATGA